TTTTATATTTTCTTTTACTCCTTCTATAAAAGAAAAGAATTGCAGCACAATGAAATGGTCTTTGCTGAAAGATTCTTTACCTGACATTTTTGGTATCTATGATTCTATTGCCCATTATTTTGGAGTCATATCTAATGTTTGTAAATGATGAAATGCAGGAAAAGATATTGGAAATTGAATACACAAAAGTAGTGGCCCCACGTAAGGAGGAAGACCCTTCTTTACATGATGACTGGGTTAGCGCAATTGATGGTTCTTCTTCTCGGTAAGCTTGCAAACGTTAAACTAGGTGGCATGTAATATTGAATTGCATGCAGTCGTCATGATTAACTGTGTAACGGTCGACTTTGGGTTTCTGTTAACTATACAAATATCGGTTAATGGAGATTTGGCTGAGCTAGTCTAGTTGGATTAAGCTTCCACGGATAAGTTGGTTAGCCTCATTTAATTTGAAATTTACAATGTTGGCATGATCATATTCAGTTTTGTTAACATTGATAATTGACAAAGTATAGTAATTTCTTATATTATATATATATATATATATATATATATATATCATGTAGATTCATCATCTGATCATCATTAGACGACCAATTGTGTGAGGTTTCACTTATGATTTATGGGGATGATCATAGGACATGGCCTTATCCTTCTATTGGATGGTCCATTACATGTGTTGCTTTTGGTAGAATGCATGGCAGTACGTGTAGAGCCAGCTTTTTTGGGCAGTTGATATTGTGCATTGGATAAAATACCAAATTCCTTGGTCTAGTCTAGCAAGTATATCAATTTTGGATCAGGCTGTCTTTGCTAAGGAGTTTAACAGTTATGCTATTGTTGCTGCAGGTTCTTTTTGACGGGATGTTATGATGGTTTAGGGAGGTAACGATTTTCGATAATTTGTTTGTTATCTTACAACTAGTCATTTAATGGCTTTTTTGAGATTTTATGTTATATCTCTTACGTGTTTGCAGAATTTTTTTAATGTTATTATGCAAATTTTTTTCTAAGGGTATGGGAAGGTGCTGGATTATGTACACATATATTGGAGGGGCACACTGATGCAATCACTTCTGTTAGCATCATCAATCACAAAGGTAACAAAGACGAGTTATTTTTTTACTCTAACATGCATACTAATATCTCTTACCTCTGTTAGCATTGTTTCCCTTTTTTAAGTTGAAAGGTGCTAATATTCTAGTAATGAAAGAATTTTAATAGAAAGAAAGAATTACAAGGACGAGGATTAAAACTGCTTCCTAAGGAGGAGAAAACAAAGGAAGAGAAAGTGAAAAGGATAAAGCACTTGAAGTTAGCAAATATCAGTGTTGTTCAATCCCTAATTTGGTGCGAGTTGTCTGGTCCTGCTAAATGATTAATCCATAGCAACTGTTCAAATTTCTCGTTTTTAATCTACATCTGATTTGTAATTTTTAAATTGACAATGTAATCACATATATCTGAAGCTGTGGAATGAATGTTTCTATGTTGATAGTAGGGAAAGCTTGTTGCTTGTGGGGGTGTTTGTCTTTCTATTATTATTGTGAAGTCCTAATGTTCCATATCATAATTTCTAATATTATTTTTATATTGCTCCCATTTATCAATATATGTACCGTATTTAGGTGCAGGAACTTGTACCTTAGCAACTGCTTCAAATGATCGAACAGTAAGGCTATGGAAGGTTAGTAGAAAAAAGTTTAGAAATATGCAAATTTTTATGTTGAGTATTTATCTGACTATGTTATGTTTTTAACTTTGTTCAAAAGCTCAATCTAGATAAGGCCATTGAGCATCCTAGGAAGATTAGTGCCTTCAAAATCTTGAGTGGTCATAAAGATACTGTGAAGAGTGTTGCCGCACAAACTTCTGGAGAAATGGTTCTTCTCTATATTTCTTAATTTTCCTTCTTTCTCTTCGAATTTCAAGATAACTTTAAGATGTAAAGTTTAGATTTCTGATGTTAGTCTTGTTGCTTCTGTTTTCACGTATATTTAGATTTGTTCTGGTTCTTGGGATTCTACCATCAAGCTGTGGCAAACTGACTTTGACGCAGAAGGTGATGTGTCTATTAAGAAGAGGAAAGTGAAAGATCAAGTTGAGGAGTCACAGTTAGAGGTCAGTATGTCGCTGGTTAATAATAACTGTGGAAAGGAACTTATAGTTCCTGTTAGTTTTTTTAGATAGTAAAATATAGAAAGAAAAAGTACAATTCCTAGTGACTTTATATCACGGGGTTGATTTTGTACTCGAAACTTTCATGCTTTTTTTTTTGGGGGGGGGGGGAGTTAGGGCTTGGTGGGGCGGATGTTTGTAAAGCTATTATCAAAAGAATTAAATGACTTCACTTTCTTTAATGCTAAAATTTTATTTTTTTGACATTATACTTGTGAGATATGTGAACTCAAGAAATCTTGTAGAGTATATAACTGTATTTCCTTCTCTTGAATATTGTTTCTCATTTATTGTATAATTTTGAACTTTTATTTGTCACTTGATCAATTTGTTGCTCGTAATACTCTTGCATTTTAGGGGGAGTCTGTATCTACCCTTGTAGGCCACACACAGCATGTTTCTTCTGTGGTTTGGCCACAGCGAGACATAATCTATTCTGCATCCTGGGATCATTCCGCCAGGGAATGGGACGTTGAGACTGGGAAAGACTCGTTCAATATAGTAAGCATGCCAACTTGTGACGTTTGACGCTTGTCTTTATACCAAACTTCATGATTTTCTTGCTGAATTATCTTCCAAGCTCATTCCATTTATTTAATTGTCTTCCTTTTTTCTTGGCTGTGGAACCATTCCAGGCACGCTAATAATTTCTTCTCTGTACTTCCTATCTTGACAATGTCTCAAAACAACATGATATTAATATTCGATTTATAATTTTTTAAATCACTACATGTCCTCCAACTGTAGTTCTGCGGCAAGGCTCTCAATTGTCTTGATGTTGGTGGAGAAGGATCTGCTATGATAGCTGCTGGTGGTTCTGATCCTGTTCTTAGGATTTGGGATCCTCGTAAGCCAGGTCTATTAAATGAGTCCAATCTTTGTTTAACTTAATCATCAAGTGAATGTGTTAATACCTCAATTGACAATTTTTCTTCTTCCGTAGGCACTTCTGCTCCAGTTTTTCAGTTTGCTTCTCATACTTCTTGGATTTCAGCCTGCAAATGGCATGATAGTTCTTGGTTTCATTTACTTTCTGCATCTTATGATGGAAAAGTTATGTTATGGGATTTGAGAACCGCGGTAATGTGCCATCATTTTGCTGTGATTTTTTAGTTTTGTCGTTAGCTCTTGTGCACATACCTTAACCTCTTAATATTTCTCTTTTCTCCTGGCAGTGGCCACTTTCTATCATTGAATCACATAGTGACAAGGTATACAGATATCACTATATTTTCTTTCTTTCGCTCCGAAATGAGTCAAAGGTATTCTTGATAAAATCATTGTTTATTTGACTTAGGTGCTATGTGCTGATTGGTGGAGAAGTGACAGTGTTATCAGCGGCGGAGCAGACTCAAAAGTCTGCATTTCTTCTGAAATTTCAGTACAATGATCCAATGCTTTTGGGTTAGTTATTTAAAATTTTAACGTTATATATAATTATATGTATAAAAAGCGAAAAATATATTTATTTACCTGATGATCGGTAGAATGATGATTATCTTTTATTGTCAGGTACTTGATCATGAAGAAGTCTAAATTTTGATCTATGAATTTAGGGACTGGCAAGATAGGCATACAATTAAAACGATCCTGTGTTTGTATAGTTCATATTTATGTGAGGATTTGAACTTGGGCTGTACAAGGAACAGGAGGACGCAATGATTCTTCCGAGCCACGAGTGTTGTATTGAGCCTTTGGATCAAAGGATGTAAGAATATATTATTTTTTTTAATGAAAACATGATAATTGTGATCTTGCACCATGATGTAAATATTTGCTATTTATTATGTCAAGTTTTTCAATCACTTATAATCATATGTTGTATTTTTAAAGTATTAACATTTAATTATAAATCGACATAAAAAAAAAGAAAAGATACATGTTTATATATTATTAGAGAATTTGACATAATAAATATAAAAAATTCAACCTGAGTTTTTGCTTATTTTGAATTAAAAAAAATATAATAACTTGATTTATAAACAGGAAAAAAAGCATTTCAAAAGAATGACCTTAAGTCCTTAACCTTGTATATAATATTTTTTTTTTAATTATTCAGTTCCTTCATTTTGTTTTAATTAGAGAAGAGGGGAGCAAAATTCTTCCACTCCAAATTACTTAGCTCAAACCAAGTGGCTGTATAATGAATGAGACTCCTAACAAAACAAAGAAAATCAACTTGTTTAAATTTAAAAACTGAAGACCGCAATTTTGTAGGCAGATAATATAGAAAATGATAGAAGAAATTTTCTTTAAAAAAAAAAATAGACGGTACCTTTCATTATTCAACAGATATATATATCTTTCTGATATAATAGGAAAAATATTTTTTTCCTAAAAAATTATATAGTCTATTAGTTGATTAATATAAATATCCTAATTTGTTAGAAAAAATAAAATATTTAAAAATACAAAACATGGTAAATGAGAAGTGAAAGAACTTAAAAGCTATTCATTTGAAATTACAAGAACCTTCTAAGGATTTTAATGATTTGATTTAATGAATTAAAAATCACAATAAATTTAGAAATTAAAAATTTAATATTAAATTTCTAATTTTAAATTATATCATACACACACACACACACTCTTCTATCTATCGATCCAAGATATATTTCTATTTTTCGTCGATAATTTCACTTTATCTCAAAGACTTGACATTACCGGCCCAAAGGGATTACCAGAGTTGGGTTATCTTTTGGGTCAAATCTGTTTTTGGGTTTCATAAACCCTACACTCGCACAATGCATTGCGATAAACCCTTGACACCTCGAACCTGTTCGATTGGCTCTATATATGGAAGCCTCCGCTTTTTGTTTCGCGTTGTGTGCGCTTCCTGAAGCTTGAGGTGCCAATATCTGCGCTAACTATTTCTTTATCGTTTGATATATTTCCTTTCAAGTTCTCATCGCAGCTCAGTTTTGACAACATTGCCGTGAAGGTTCCATTCTCTCACAAATGTATTTTGATCTCAGCCCTCGATTTATGGTTTGATCCCACTGATTTGATTCCTATATGTATATTGTATAGGATAACATTGGAATCTTTATATATTTCTGCAATGTTTTATCGGGAAATTAGCAATTTATATGCCTTTCTCTTATTCTGATAGCGCAGCTGCGGTGTAAGCTGGGTCAAAAATGGCGGGTGGAGGGAATTTCATGCACAGGGTAATCTCCTACGTGGTAAATGAATTGGTCGTGAACGGTCTTGCCAATAGGTATCTTAACCCTTTTTTTCCTTTAAACTTCAATTCGTTCTTTTCAGTCTTTTGTTCTTGGTTGGTACAGTGTGTGTTTATTTAATTTCAAGCTTCTTTCTCTGGCCACCGGGAAAATTATTTCCTGGGTGGCTCGTTCAATTGAAGCAAGATAGTGTCAAGGTCCTGAATTATGGTTTCCAGGGCAACGTGATTGCACTGGAAGTCTAGGAGTTTGAGACATCCTGCTACAAGCGCAATCGTAAAATACTTGCTATTTAGAGAAAACGAAATTGTAATGGTCAGCTTGTCTAAACGAAACTGATTTTTATTAGTTATTGCCTATGATGACTCTCGTAGGCTTGTAATGATTGCAGAGATGACTGTAAGAATTAACATCCAACGGACTGAGGCTCTATGTACTTTGTTTCTATGAAAATGCATAGCATCTATTCAATGTGTGCCTGATAATCAGTTTTGGATGAGTTCTCAAACTGAACTATGCATATGAAATTTTACGGGTCATTCTGAGTATGAATGTAAGATTTTTAGTTACTGTCTGGATGCATTTATTTCTTTATGATTTTAACCATGGCGAGTCTTTGGTCATATTTCTATTACAAATTGCCGATGATGTCTCCATTCGTAGGCTTGTAATGATCGCTGAGATGACATGAAATCGTCATTCAAAAGACTGAGGCTTTACATTCTGATTTTTTGATTTTGTTGATCCACTTCTTCATACACTGACTGTGTATTGGATGCATTTATTTTGTTATATTTCTAGCTGTTGCTTATCTCTGGTAATTATTTTATTACCATTTGCCAGTGATGTCGCCATATTCGTAGGCTTGTAATGATTGCTGAGATGAAATTGAATTATCGTCCAAAGGACTGAGGCTTCCCCACTCCCGTCCCCCCTTTAATTTATGATTATTTTACTGATTCATTTTTTTCATCTATTGACCGTGAGCTGAGTGATGTTCTTTATGCCAATACAATGGCCAGTAAGAAACAAAGCTAAACTATGAAATAGGGCTAGATAAAATTGAGGTACGTCAGAATGTGAAATGAGGCCTTGTATTTGTTCTTGTCTTGATCTGAGTTTAAAAACAAGCAGTATTGGTTCTTGCTGTCTGGGTTCATTGGTGGTCTAATCTTTTGCTACTTCAATTTTGTAACGAATTAGTTTCTATATCTTGAATTTCTTAGATATTATATTACACTACTGATAATGTTTTCTTGTGGTTTATCAGCCCCACATTCCAGAGGTTTGCAGTGAAAACATCTAAGAGAATTGAAGACATTACAAATAAAGGTAGTATTATCAAAATGATAAAGGTCGTATTTTGTTGGCCCAAAGTCAGTCTGACGCAAGTGTTCATCTATTCTTGACAGCTACACAAAAGAAGCAAGAGCTAGCAGAGCAGATGAAGGACATATCAAAAAAATATGGAGGTTGTGTATAGTTGTTAATTTTTAATCTTCTACCTTAATTGATCAGGCCACCCAAGTGTTGTCTTAATTGCAAATTTAGCCCTGGATTTCAGTAAATTGGCAGAGCACTCTTGATGGCGTGCATACGCCCTTCAGGTTTAGGCTGTCCAAAATTTAACGGTCCGTTAGCCACTCTACTGTGGTTAAGATTTTTGTTGGACCATGAAGTTTCAGGCAACTCTGCATTCTGTTACTCGTGAAAGTTCGGTTGCACCCTTACTGAAACTGAAGCACGTGGACTAGACGTAAAATTTAGCCAAGTTTTAACATTTTTTTTTCTTTTTCTAAAACTGCTTCCAGAATGAGAACCAATGGCTTTGCTGTATCTTGGATCGGGAGGACAACAGAACAGGGTACTGATGATCTCTGCGGTGGAGGCAGACGAGGTCATGTGGACATGCCCAATATCTACCAAAAGGAAGTGGTTCTTCAATGTAGTCTGTCACACTTGGCTAAGCAAAATTCTAGCGTCTGCTGTCTTAGTTTTACTTCTGCGAAGATTAATTGTACTTCCATTATATTTCTTGTTTGGGCTCATCAAATGTTTGGTAATCTGGTAGTTGTCTTTTGCAACTTATAGTATCAAGGGAAGCAAGGGCTGGCAAATAGTGTGGAGTAAGTGTAAATCTGTTGAAGATGTATAATGTTATAATTTCTGGATGTGTCAACTCGTATTACCGACCCAGTTATGGTGCAAGTGAAATAAGTGAATCATCCATATCGAATTGCTTGAAAGCGAGTGGAGGTTACAAACAAGTACGCATCGAACATTTAGTCATTCAGTGCGAGAATAAGACTAATTTCTCTGAACCATAATTCCAGTGTCAACAAACAGGCACTTGCCCTATGATAATTTGAGCCGTGGATTGTAGTTATGCAAATCTTCTGAAACAATAGTTTAAAGACGTACGAGAACGTAGAACCCTTTTTTTTTTTTTCACGGCGTTTGAATATCCCAAGAATGTTTTCTAAAAATATTTATTTCGTAAATCAAGACATTTTTTTTATCTGTTTTATATATCATAAAATTATTTTTAAAATGATGGTCTAAGATTATAATTTGATTCACATTCAAATATTTTCACAATATTGCTGTGAACTGCCAAATCCTTTGGCAGGCTTGTCGTTGGAAGAAAAGCTTGTTCAATCATGACACTCATATTTTCCCACTCTATATCACACCGTATAACTTTGTCATGCATGTGTGGAAAGCGTATTTGAACAGAAAAAATAATCAAAATTTCAGAGCTTCCCCTCACTTTTAAAAGGTAATGACACGTGCATGTCTTATGTTCGAAGCTGCAGAAGGCATCATTAGCTCGATGCATAAATTATTTGGTAATCCTAGCTTCAACTCTACCAAAATGAATACAAGGAACCAATTGACCCAGTAGGGCCACGTTGATTCGTAGCTATACATTTTTGCCTGAAGCTGAAAGCCCGGTTGTGGTGACTCATGTATGCTATTATGCATCTGGTCGTTGAACTTGGTGCTGCGACTGTCTCGGCATTAGCTTGTGCCATGCCCTCCCTTAGACAGGGTTCTCCAAAGTGTAACATCTTTGATGCTACATCAGCATGTAAAGTTCACTTTTGTACCTGACCAAGATGAGGCACATTCAACACTGAGCACATGAAAATTTGCAGGATGCAAGAAAGGGCATTATTTAGGTGACTAACCAGACTCTTGAAAGCAACGCCTAAGCTTTACAAGGCCAGCACTTTTCCCAGTAAGGCACGGAAAAATGACACTTGAAATCAAGAACCATAGAATTTCTCAACTCTAAGAATAAAAATCTGATCCTTTCAATATTACAAAGGTATCTTGAGTTGTTATTTAACCCCAAATAAAGACACCCTCCTGGCATTGAAAAGAGTTGCAAAATTAAGCATCAGCAATAACTAAGATTCTTGGATGCCAATTCTATAAGTTTTAAATTCTAGGGTGAGACGTTCCTATAGCCTCAATAAATCATCCCAGCTCAGCCCTATTCAAGCTCCAAGATAGATTGACCCTAGGCCAAACCTTAAATATGTGCTTCTAAAATGCTAATCATTTATTAAAAGAACTTGTAAGGCCGTAAGGGCATGCGCCATCCTAGCTCAAGCCTACCCAACCCTTAATAGTTTTTTTTCCCCCAAAAAGGAAAAACCTAAAGACAAATGGAGCTGGACTAAATATTGATTTTAAAAATGGGCTGCCGTTTTTACTAGCTTGGCCCTTCGATTCTATTAGAATTGAGTAGGCCAGGCCTGGAAAGAACGTAAAGAAATAGAACCTGTTTATAACTTGATTTTTCCAAGTATTGCTAGCACGTGCCTGCTGCCACTTCATCTGTCTACTACTTCAGGGATAATCGCTGTGTTCAAATAAACCTGTTGCATCTCCTCTCTCCAGATCTGCAAGCACACAGAAATTTGGTTTCCATTTGCTCCAAAAATATAATCCAACAATTCTAGCATTATCAATCATGATGCGCCTGTAATTTTGGATGACCAAGCTTATTGAAATTTTTAAAGCGAACAGTCGCAATCCTTTAACTAAAGAAAAATATTGTTTAAAAGGCTCAAGAAGTGAAGTTAAAGAGTTACTGAAGGCCAGCTAAACCTCTCTCTGTTTGGACGCATGATTTAACCTTACCGGGATATATAGCCTCGATATTTTTAAATTATCATTACATAAAATTTAGCACCATGGAAGATGTTATGTGTGGTGATTCAACATACCGTATCTCGAAATTCCAATCGTATGTGTGGAACATTTGTTTTTTGAATGTCATTTCCACTCGGCCCCCTCTTGTAATACCCTTTACCAATCCAGTGAGACTGAAACAATGAGATGATGAGTTGAGTAAAACAGATTAAAACGCATTCTGCATTTCCATAAAATTTCTACTACCACAATCCATGCAGCTTGTTTACACCCATTAATTCAATTATGCAGATATGTTAATACTCTCTATAGAGTATAAGCCTGATTCTTATACTACCCAGTTTATGTTCTACGCATAATGATATCAATTTTCTCATTAAAACATCTAACAGAAACAACAGATACCAATTACTTACTTACCCCAGCCCCCCAAAAAAATTAATTAATTCTGCAGCTATCAACTTCTCAGGGTCAACCCTATATTCCATTGAACATAAATAATTATACCATAGGATACAGGAAATCGTTAGTTTTTAAGTTTTTTTTTTTTTGCATTATCCATGTAATCAGACAAATTTTTGCAATTTTAAAATTCAAGTTATAAAGTTTATGGCATGGACTGAATGCCACATTAATAGGGATTGATAGCAATGGTGCATGTTGGGCCATGCTCATCTCGGAGACTCAGACAGCATTTTGCCAACATGTAGCAACATCACTTTGGGAGTCACGTATATGAGTCATGACAACCACACTTAAGAACGCACTGCCTAAGAATGTTTCAAAGAAAATTTAAAACAAGTTTATTTGATGAAGAAAATTTCTAATTTTTATATCTTCTACCGTATGTGCCATTGGTGTTGAGTATTTCATGGTTTACGTCTACACAATTTCCATTCAGGGTAATAGGAGCAAAGTCAGGATTAAAAGTATACCTTTAAGGCATGTGAGAAACCTGATTGATAAACTGAATTACGGGCAATCTCACATAAATCACATGAGCTCAATTTCCAAACCTGTGCGTAAATTGTCTCATTGATGTAAGTATTGTATCCTTATGTGCCATATACACGCACTCACAATCACAGACAGACAGACAGACACAGACACACACACACAGACACACACACACAGACACACACACACACACACACACACACACAGAGAGAGAGAGAGATCTCACAGAAGCAGCAATGCTATATTCTTCAACCAATGGTTCTTTGGTCAAGTGAATTTGGAGGGGATCATCAGTAGAAAGTGAAACATTCAGCCCACGCAAGAAGAACATTGGCAAAGGATTCCGATGGTAGTCTAAAAACAGGGAGTTATTGCTCAGAGGAGACATTGCTAGCCCAATCTGATTGCAAATATTCCACCACAGACAATTAAGCACGGCATATAACCCAACTAAGTAATTAGTTACTAATTTTAGTTACTAATTGGGCATACCTGAGCTAGATAATACAAATATTGAAGCACAGGAGATTTCCTCAAATTGATTCCATGTGCAATGTTATGGGCAGTAAGAAAGGTTGCAGCAAGGTGGTCAATATCACCAGCCTGAATACGTTAATGATGCATCAGGTACCCATACAACAACGAACCAAACAAAAATATGCTCCCATAATTAATTACCTCTCCAGAGTGTGGACGGAATTTGATCGTTGTCATTCCCTTTGACTCACGAAGCTGAGAAAATATCACATATTAGGTCAACATTTGTGTGTTGAACAAAAGCCAAGGAGATCCAGATAGTAATTATTAAGTTATATGCAGAGACATCTCAAAGTAAGCAATTAAATGGGGTCTATGGTCACTTGATGAGAGAAGCAAGCAACATCACAAAGGACAGGACTCCATAACCCACATCAATGGTAAATCAACTTGTGTCACATATATCAGAAATTTGGAAGGGACCCGCACATTGCTGATTTTCTCTTTCTTTTTTCCCCTCATTAACTTCAGCTTGTCTTTCCCTAAGGGAGGGGTAGTGAATAACCAGGCGCCTAGATTTTGACAAGTATAAACTTCTATTAGGAAAAAAATGACACACCTTGTTTAGGGTGTAAAGATTTGCATAGCAATAATACACATAATATGAATATGCGGGATTAAAAACATTGGTCCATTGAGCAGGCGTAGGCATGTGTTTAGTTGGCCGCCTTTCGGGCTTGCTCTCATCATCCACCAAATCCAATCCAACAACCTAAAACATGTCCAGAAAAAGGTAAACAGCAAGATAATGAGCTACTACATAAGAGAAATAAACAAACAAATATGCATGATACAAACACAATTGATCAAAGCACTATGTCAGAAGTAAATATTAGATTTCTGTCCCTTGTGGGCTTCTGCAAAATGCCACCAGCACTGAATAGATTTATGGCACGTCTAAGAAATTTGGAAAAAACAAAATTGACTTGTGCATAATACATTTAATGGCATCATAATGCCCCAAGGAAAAAAATACCCATAACTGATGTCATTTATGTACGTCATTTGGATTTTTTGTGCGTGTGTGTGTGTGTGTGAGTCCAAATATTACATCATTATTCAATCATCATAGAATAAGAAGAATGAAAAATCAACTATCAACGACTCATTCGGATGTTTCTCAAGTGTATGGTAGAACACGGAACTACCACCAGCTAATCGTAGGCAGAAACTATAACAAAAATGCAATCAAAACAGTAGTAAAAACTACACCTGTTTTAAGAACACATGCAACTGAGGGTGTGAATCAGGATCCACAGTAACCTCAAAAAGTGGAATAAAGATATTGTCAAGAATATTCTGGAATGAGGTCACAATTCCCATTTCTTTGTACACATTGTATAATCTTGGAAGCTGCAAAACAAATATTTGAAAATAATAAACATCAATTGCCAGATTACAATCTCTTACAGCACATGTAGTCAAAATTGAAGAATCTCCAGAACTATTACCCAGCACTCCTAAGAGTGGCATCAAGGACATTACGATTCTCAATTGTTAACTAAGTGAAATTGCACTCTTCATGCTTAAATTACATTATATGAAGCCAAAACTCTGAAAATGACATGATGGTTGACATAGTAATGAT